TAGAGTTATTAGTTACAGTTCTGAGAACTTCTATCATTTTCTCATGAGATGGGGGGGGGGGGGGCATGGAATGCATCTTGTCAGTCTGTATGGAAGCTTCTAATTCTGTGTGTTTGGTGCATGTGTGTGTGTGTGTGTGTGTGTGTGTGTGTGTGTGTGTGTGTGTGTGTGTGTGTGTGTTACCATTGTTGGTGCTTGAATGCTGTCCCTAGTTGGAAGGGCGCGTGCCTTTGGTGCATACCCTGATGTACCGTTGCTGGTTCGTCAACTTCTTAGCAGGTTGTTCAAATCTGTTCTGCAGTTTGAGGTAAGCTTCCTCCTCGGCTGAAAGTGGTGGTGGTAGTACTGCCACTGCTGCTAATTGCCTTTTTTATTTTATCTTTTCACTCGACCGTGTATTGTGTTTGCATGGGTGTTTGAATTATGGTATGTTTAAAATGTTGTGTTTTTTGTGTTTGCATTTAGGATGATACTGGTCGTTGTCTAAGTCAACACCTCTGTCAGCTGCCTGGCAATAACTCCAGTACGCAAGGCAAGGATACAGGGTAGGTACTAGCTGCCTGTGGACGATTGTTTTATTCTGCACATGTGTTTATTCGTTTGTACTTGTTTGTTTCCCCATCGTCATGCCTTGACTTGCTGTTATTGTGCTCTGGTAGAGGCGGCGGGTGTGTGGATGGCTGACGAAAAGATTGCTGTGGTGTGCATGCATGCATGTGTGTGATACGCTTACGTGTGTGCAATGAATATGTGTCTGTGTGTCTGTGTGCGTATGTCTGTGTTTAGGAAAGGTCTGGACATGTCCGGCATTAAACGCTTAATGAACGAGGTTAGTTTTTGGCTATTTGCACAAGATATTATTAGCTAGATAGCTTGTATGCTCAGCCCGTGTTGCTCATCCTTGTCTTGCTACCTGCATGTACATATTACTCTCTCATCTTTGAACACTGCTTGACCTGCTGTGTTTAGTGTGTATGTCTGCCATTTTCTTCTTTCGCCTGGGCATTTGTCAGCACACTAACGATTGTCTTTGTACCGGATAGTCTCGCATTTACGGTCATATTACCTGCTGAAGTGTCCTACCGTATAATAATGCTATTGTGTTGCGTGCCATTGTGCAGGGAGAGTATTTGCGATTGGACACGTTGCAAGCGGATGTATTCGCAGCGTTTGACACTGTGCGTGAACAATGCGGACCAGCTTCACAGGTACGCAAGCAGAATCTGCTGCTGCTGCTGCGTGTGTGTGTGTGTGTGTGTGTGTGTGTACTGTATTATGGGGTACTTGCATACTGTGCAACACTACACTATACAGCTACTCTTCAGCTATTCAACACAGTATAGCAATGGTGCTGACTGCTCTGCTCAATGGCCATTGTGGCAAGGATGAGTGTGATCCCGCTGTATACTGCCCGTGTCTTGATTCACTTCGATCAACTCCTAGTTCATCTTGTCGTTAGTGCTAGGGTGTGAGCTTCAATCGTATCCTGTCTACCTTTCTTTCTTTTCAGCACTGGAATGACTCCGTTCAACTCCAACGCGTCTTCATAGAGAAGCGCGATGAGCTGTGTGGCCAAGGACAGCTCCTCGACTCTCCAGCATTCAGCTTTGGCCTGCCCAACCTTGAAGCCAGGGTGGCTCGCATCAGACAGGAGTGGTACGTGTGGTAACAATATTTGTTGGTGCAGTGCTGCTAAACACTGGCAACAGTATGCCATTTTGCCTACTGCTGGAAGTAAATCAGGACTGGAAATTGCAATATGCAGTCAACTGTCTTAGTAGATGTGTGAGATATATCATCTATTAGCCTGGTGATGGTAAAAACCTGAAACTCAAGAGTTGCAGTGAACTCCCCTCTTCTTGCTGCATACATTGGCTCTGCTTTATTCAGGCATAAGACTCCACTCTTCGAACAGTGTAGCGCTACTCTGCTTGTTACGAACCACCACTATATCGTAACTCACCTTTTACCGCACAGTGAACAGGTGAACGCAACCTAATATCCTCTTGTGTGCACTTCTGTGTTGCCAGTGCGAATGCAGCAAAGAGAGCTCCCGCTGTTTCCCAGTCTAGCTCCGCTCCTCGTGCCGGTGGGCAAGAATCTTTATCAGCACCAGCGCCATCCGGCGAGGAGCAGATGGAAGTAGAGGAAACGTCAGCGAAGATTGGAGACAGTGAACAAACCGGTGCAGCAGATTCTAAAGAAGATGGAGAGGTGAGATACATTGTGCGTTGGGCTGGTCATGGTGCTTTAGAAACTTCAGTGCTGGGGTCATGATAGGTCATAATGACTTACTGATGTTCTGCTGTCCTGTATGCCAAGGTTAAGGCAGGGTTAGTAATTTAGAGATGTGTGTAGCTGGGTACTGTGTCAAGTACTTGCATCCTGCACTAGGTCAGTGGCGGGTATACAGAAAGCTGCAGTTTGATACTCGTAGAGTATTTGCAGCTTGGCTGGTTAGGCGGCTTGGCTGTTGCAAAGGTAGAACACATGCATGTAGTAGTGCATTTGCTGGTGATATAGTTGCTGCTTCTTATGCTGCTATTGCTGCTGCTGTTGTTGCTACTGCTGAAGACTTAGTGTTTATGAGTATTGCACTCCGGTGGGATGGCAAAGAAAGATAAGCTTCCTGGAGACATTTACTTGAAGATGTGCTATGTTGTGAACACAGCGTATTATAGAAATGATACTTACTTCTTGGCCGTAGAGATTGCTTGACCTCGCCAATTGCCGTATTGCAGGTGGGATTAGAGCGGTGTGCGTTAGTCAAGGTTGAGCACACCGTGTTAATGCTGTGCTCAGCCTTGAAGTACTGCATGGTGAATGCCGAAGTGTACTGCTCTGTAGGAAATTGTTCTATTATCTTTTTTGCTGTGTTGATGTAACGTGATTGCCAATACACTATTGACTGAAATTATGTATGTGCACTTGTGTGTTCGATGTCCTTGTCGTGTATCTCACCATGCTATCTGATACACACTGTGACAGGCTGGAGATGACTCTAAGTATATACCCACTGAGTCCATCACCATTGGAAGTGAAAAATATGCACGTGGTGACTTTGTCTACGTTCGTGCCAGGTTAGTTGCCCATGCTGCCTCTCCTGCCTCTGCCTCACTGCTGCTGCTGGTAGTGATGGTGGTGATAGTAGTGCTGCTGCTGCTGCTGCTATTGCTGGCGCTGATGGTGGTGCTGCTGCTGTTCAGTGGTGTAGCCTGTGATACATAACAATAATTACATGTATGTGAAATAGGTCACCACTTCTAGGTTTTGTGTTCATCCGTTGTGTTGGTTTGCTGTACATTGCCCCAAGCACAGTGATCTCTTCCGGTGTTATCCTGGTGTTCTGGTGCTGTGTTGACCTTATAGGGATGACCAAATGGACAATCATGTTGTAGCTATTGAGAGGTGGCAGAAAAGCACTGACAGTGCTGATGACACGGTGGTGAGTGCTCAGTGTGCACTTCTTCACTTCACTGTCAACTGGTGTGCTGTGTGATGATTTTATGTTCGGGCCAATGTTTGTGCATGTGTGTGGGCGGGTGAGTGTGGGCGTGTGTGTGTGTGTGGGCGTGCGTGCGTGTATCTGTGTGTGATGGGATGGGATGAGATGCAACACATTGCTGCTGCCTGCTTCCCCAGTCCAGAAATGTTACACTGAAGTGTGGTTACCGGTATCTGGTGAATACTGTTGCGATGGAAATATTCATCTCTGCGTGCTCTTTTTTTCTTTTCTATCCATGCCCCCCCCTCTCTCTCTCTCTCTTCCTTTCTTTCTTCTCTATCATACTCATGCAGGAGTTCTTTGGAAACTATTTCTACCGGCCACCTGAGACATTCCATGTTCCAACACGGAAATTTCTGGAACAGGTTTGTTTGGCATATGTGTACTTGATTATCACTTCACTGCCCGATTTCTGAAAGGCTCTGGAGAGTGTTTGTCTGTTTGTATTACTATTACCTGGGTTGATTTGTTCATATTACTAAACTGTGATCAACGTGCATATGTTGCTTTGAGTCCACCATGCCGTGGACAGATGTGTTCGGTGCTGTGGACCTACATGTACATCCATTATCCCTCCCGTCTGCTTTGCAGGAGATCTTCAAGAGTGACTACTACGCTCCTTTCCCAGCAACCGATATTGTGGGTCGGTGCTGTGTAGTGTTCTGCAAAGACTACTTCAAAATGGTGCCTTCGGTAAGAGGTCTGTCTGTCTGTCTGTCTGCCTGTCTGTCTGCCTGTCTCTCTCTCTCTGTCCTGCTTTCAGGCATTTAAAAAGCCTGCTGTGGAGTTCTCATTTTCATTTGTTGGACTTTTCTTGTCTTTATAAATGCACTATGTGCATCAAGCATAAACTGGCACTGGATTAATTTCTTGTTGCTACTGTTGCTGTTCTTGTGCACTAAGCTATTATTCTCGGTATTGTGTTCACCGCCACGCTTACGATAGGGTTTGGCTGAAGAGGATGTGTTCGTGTGCGAATCGCGCTACATGACCAAGGCGAAGAGCTTCAAGAAGATCAAGATCTGGCCTTTCACGACCGGCCGCTTCAAACTGAAGATGCGTGCGCACCCATTGCAGGCTCGTCGTGTAGAGTCAGTGTTTGCACAGCATGCTGCAACATCGTCCAGCAGTGCTGCTCTGATGGCCGCCAAGACTGACAATGTAGAGTCGTCAGAGGCTGGTGATGCGTCGTCGACTATGGGTAGCATGCAAGCCACTGTTGTGTCAACGCAGGTGGATGACCAGCCATTTGTTGTTCCCAGCACGCACGTGAGTGCCGGGTTGATTTGCCTGTCATGACTCAAATGTGTGTATGTGAGGATGCGGGTGCGGGCGTGGGCGTGCGGGCAGGTGCGCGTGTGCGTAAGTGTGTAACCAATGCTGCCTGGGTTCTTTTTACCTTGAAGAGGGCACAGTGTTACTGTGTACCTCTGACATTACGCTGTGTCCGATCCGCTTTGCAGAAATTAATAGTGTCATCCTCTGGTACTGCTGTGCAAACTAGTCTGTTGTACTTTGAGCATGGGCATGTGTGTATGTATGTATGTATGTGTGTGTGTGTGCGTGCGTGCGTGCGTACGTATGTATGTTTGTAGCGGTACATTTTACTTGACCTTGTATGTTGTGTTCGCTGCAGAATGTGGTGAAGGTCACTGAGTCAACAGATACACCGCCTGGCGAGGATGGCACCGGCTGTACCTATTATGAACAGTTTGTCTTTGAGTCGTGCACCTTCAAACTGGGTGAGTTTATTTGTGCTGTGTTTGATGGCGCCCGCCGGTGCTAGGGCTGCTGCTGCCGCCGCCACTGCCACCGCTGCTGCTGCTGCACCTCCGTTTGCTCTTGTGCCACGATCTTGAGTTGACAGTGGCAATGCTGCTGCTACAGAGCTAGTTACTCCCAGTGTTCATCCGTGCACCCTGTGGCATAGCTCTGCACTCTACCGCGGCCACAAGCAGCGAGTAGTAAAATACCGGCAGGTGACTCGAGCATACGCGACCAGTTTGACGATTGCCTCGATATTTTTTCACTGCTCCCTGGTCACAAGTTCTGTGGATGTGTAGATATGGTCTTTGGGAGTCATTCTGTGAACTAAATAGGGGTCGCTAGGGTTTTTGCTACTGTTACAGTGGTCCAGAGGGCGAAAATGTTATTTCGCCCAAAATGCCTATGTTTGAGCCTCAAGATCACAAGGGACAGATCAGGAATCTCAAATTTTATTGCGAATTAAGAATCAGTATGATCTTCTCATCTAGTCCGAGTGAATTATTACAGAGAGGAAATTTTGGATTACCGGTATACTAGCCCATGCTCTCGTTGTAATGGTCTTCCTGGGGTGTGTATGGTTGGTACGATCTAGAACAGGATCGGACGGCTGGTGCACATGGAGCAGCCTCGTGCCAACCAAACGGTACTCCAGAAACAGAGCACATTTTTGTGAAAGGTTTGCCTAACTTGGTGCATTCTTCAAAATGTGTACGGGTCACCATGGTCACTTTGTACAGTACAACGAGTCCAACCCAAAGGCGTATGTACGTGATCATGTGAGACCAAATCGATGGTCCAGCCAGGTTTCACTGTGAAAAAGTGAAACTGCTCGGTCTGCTCGGTCAAGCAGAACATGTTACTGGCCAACCCAGAACAGGTGCAGCTCCAACCAAACGCGCTGTTCTGGTGAATCCTGTTCTAGGTTGTACCAACCAAACGCACAGCTAGAGTTGTTCAACAGACTTTTGCTTGTGTTGATCTTGGTGATCCTGTGACATTGCTACTTTCAAGGAATTAGTAAGGACGTTTAGCAACGCGAAAGTTCTAAAGAAAATTCGAGTCTGGGAATGAGAACAGAAACAAAGGTCGAAACTTCGAAAACTTGGACGCGAAGTTGCAGTGATTTGCGAAAGTAACTTTCTCTTTTCTCGGTACGCATTTGACTACAGGGAGTAGTAATTTTACAGCCCCCTGCTTGAGACTGAGATGTATATACGGTACGGTACTATAAGATTCAATTAACACAAGCATCTGCATGCCGCACTCACACAACGAGCAACCAGTTTGGGGAATAGGAGGGTTTGTCAATTGCTTTGCCAGGCTCCGAGTGAGTGACAGCTTAGAGCTGTGTGAATGTGTGTGTATGGCAGCTGGGCAGGGCCCTGCTGCGGAGGCTGAGTGAGCCGTATGGAGGCAGCCGGGCAGGGCCCGGCTGCGGAGGCTGAGTGAGCCGTATTGAGAGGCTGAGTGAGCCGAGGCTGAGTGAGCCGTCTGGGTGTGAGAGGCTGAATGAGCCTTTGAGGAGCCTGGTAAGCAAGGTTGACTCCCCTCCATGTATTTACAGAGTTTCGCCGGTAGACGGCATCGGTGTAGTTATTGTAGGCCGGTATGATAATGGATACCGACAGGAGAGAACTAGAATAGGAAACATGATGATGACAATAGTGGAGTGAGTGGGTGGGTTGAGAAAGAAATCCACTGCCTAAGCGGACAAAGCAAGAACTGAAGTCAGGAACAGTGGACTTCGGAGAGCAATGAGCGTGTGAGAGTTTGTTGGGAAAAGAGCATGCGCCTTCTGTGTTAACATATTTTTGCGCGTGCGCAAAAATCATATAACTTCGAGAAAAGTCATTTCGCATTGCTAAACCTCACAAGTTTTCTTTTTCGAAATAGATTTTCGCAAAATATCACCACCACCAAATGTTCGAATTTTCGCATTGCTAAACGTCCCCAGTAAATCACATTTTCCTAACAATAGTGTTAGTGTGCAGGCGTTGTGTAGTTGTCTGTCGCCTCTGCCCTGCCTGAGTTTGCTGGGCTGTGCACTGGGCATATCTGAGCCTTTACATGCATATCATAATACTGGCATAGTCTTGTTGTATGTTGGAATGAGCAATGTGCTGTTTCGGGCACGTGCTGGATATCAATCACTGGTGGATGTGTTGTATTGTGCACTACTGATGCTGCCGACGCTGGTGTTGTTGTTTGCTCAGGTGATAATGTATATTTGCGCTCCGATCAAGCCGACCCATTTGTGGCACGTATTGATCGTATTTGGACTGATAAAGAGTAAGAGACTCTATATGTACATGTACGCTGGCGTAGGTCTAACAATTAGATACTGTAAACCGGGAAACTTTTGCGGCGTGCAACTTTTGCGTTTTGAAAAAACGCCCCTGTTAACGACGGGAAATTTTAGCGATTTGGTCTTTTCAGGTGGTACTAGTGCATGTACTTCCGTTCAAATTCCTCAGTTTGCAGCGATTCCAATTCGCGTTTTGGCAGTGATCCCGAAACTCGCGAAAATTATCCGCTCGCGAAAGTTTCCCGGTTTACAGTACTGCTGGATTTTAAAGCCTGACATGATGTGTAGTTATGTACCCCTGCAACATGTACGGTCACTAGTCATGGGCCGGCAATGTGCTTTCAGCCTTCCTACTCACATCTGTCACCGCTGGTCTTCTTTCTTCTACTGCCCATATTGCTTGAAAATTGAAATGGTTGTGGTGAGTAGCACTGAGTACCGAGTTCTGCTGTGTAGCACTTGGTGAATGTGTACTTTGCGTTCCTTACTCTATACCAGCCTCCATGAGTTCCATAGACATAGCCCGTATGTACTAGGGCACCTAGCTAGCGGGAATGCCCACCACCAGCTGCTTGCACTGAGCTGCATCAGGGGCTCGTTGGCTGATGTGTTATTTGTGATGTTCACTCTGTTTGTGTGCGTGCATTAGTGGACATCCGTACTTCCATGGACCATGGTTTGTGCGTCCATCAGAGGTCGAACACTCGCCATCACGCATGTTCTATAAGCGCGAGCTGTTGATGAGCAGTCTGCATGACTCCAACTCCATGAAGTCCATCCAGGGTCGATGTGCCGTTCTGGACATGCAGACATACACAAAAGGCCGAATGACGGAGGTGAACGAGACCGATGTGTATGTGTGCGAGTCACGATACAACGAGAGCGATAGGCAGATACGGCGACTGAAAGGTTTGAAGGTGAGTAGGCAACTAACTTCATGTACTGCTACTGGTCATCTGGTGTGCTTGTGGTGATCTGGTGTGCCTGTGGTGATCTGGTGTGCTTGTGGTGACCTGGTGTGCTTGTGGTGATCTGGAGTGCTTGTGGAAATATCATTTTGTCATTGTCAGGCGTGTTTTTGTGTGTTCCATTTGGTTATGGCGAGAACACTTTCCTTTTCTGCTGCTCTCCATAACTTTTCAGGTATTCCAGTTATCCTCGGTAGTATTGAGTGACGAGTGGTACTACTTTGGTGAGGATATTGCACCACTCAAGGTGCCTTCGCCGAAGATTGTAGACGAGACCGACGGAGTTAACGCTGGTAGTGCTTCTAACATTGCAGCCGCTGGTAGCGGAGTATCATCTGTTCCGTATCGTGCTGCTCCCTCCACACCAGTCACGGCAAGCCCTCTGCCACGAAAGCCTATTGCAATCGCACCCAGCAGCATGCCGGTGAGGATCCTGGGCTGCGTGACGTTCTCGCATGTTGTGTGTGTACGCGTGTGTGTGTGTGTTTAGGCATGTGTGCACATCTGTGTGTATGCACGTTACTTCCAGGCACTTGTCAGTTAGCCAAGTGTCACTGACTGAAATTCTCTTATCCAAACTTCACTCATCTTAGCATGTCAATTGACTGCACAATTGTCCTCAGTGAGAAATGTAGAATGTCAGTTGCATGATTGACATGACTCACTGGATTCTGTCGGGACTCAATTACATGTGCATGCTGTACTCTGCACAACAGTATAAGCATGCGTTTGATTCACATGTCCCGATGTCCATACAGGACGATGTAGCTGTGAAAGCATTGTCGTTGCCGCTGTCGTGATTGTACGTCCCCGTAGATCACTGTGCTCTGAGACCAGTTGCATTGTTGTGCTGTGTTGGCTGCAGAAGAGTTCACGCTCCGCATTGGGTTCCGTCTCGGCATATCTCTTATTTGCCGGCGAAGTTAGTTTGAAGCTGAGGAACACGCAGCCCAGTATTGCTGCTGATGAACTGAATCGCCTCGTCGAGGCTGAGGTATGGATACAGCTTGCACCATGCCAGCTACAAACTACTCTTTTCACTGCTGCTCTTGGCATTCACTCAGCGTATCTGGCCAGTGTGTCCAGTGCGATGCTGTTGGAAACTTGTGAGCAGGAGTGTATGTGCGTACTGTATTTTTGTTATAAGCATTTTCAACCTCCCTCCAGCTCACTTTTGAAAGGAAAAAAGGCAGGTGTATATTTTTAGAGCGTGTGGCCAATATTAATACATGCATGTGGTGTGTGTTTTGTTGGAGACATGCTGAACATACAGTTAGTGTAAGGACACAGCCCAATGGAGTGTGTTGTATGGGTCACGCAGTATAACAACCTCTGTTTTCTTGTCTGCATTACGTGTACTGAAGTACATTAGTGCGAGTTGAGCTGGAGGGAACAGCTGAGCTCTTCCCACTCTAGACCAACTTGATATGTATGATGTAACTTTGAGAGACATTTTTTTTGTATTTTTGTTTATTGTGTACTCATCTTCAGTGGCACCAGCTGTCTGAAACCCAGCGTACCGAGTACGATGTCAAAGCCTCATCATTGTCTCACAGCAGTGTCTTTGCGGTGAGTACGCACAGTCACATGTTCTATGAGATGAGCAGTGCTCTGATCCGAGTACGGTAAAAGCCCATGATACAGTACACAGTACATGTACATGTACTTGAAGTACTGTCGTGGATATGGAAATCCAGTCGAATGACCGGGGCCGGCACCCTCAGCACGTGCAGAACGTAACGTCGTTGCACGCAGTGTCATGTATGTAATGTTGTTCGTTGATCCGATGCGACCAGCGTGCTGCAGCGCATATGTACCATGATGTACCGCACCCACGGCTGCATGGCCAGCGCTCTTGGGCCGCTAGACGTGCGGCCGGATTTCCATGTCCACGACAGTAGTATCTTGCACAGTACGTTGTAGTGTATGGGTGATTAATGATTATACAGGCTTTTACTGCATGTCGAAGTCAGTGGAACATCTGTGTGGCATTACGTGTGGCTAGCGTCGTGTGCGTTGCATCAGTTTTGCTTTTTCAGGGAGTAGCACTCTGCTGGGATGGATGACATGTAAGCATTACTTTCATGTCTAGTCCCTAAGGAGGAGGCCTGGCAGAGAAATTGGAGAAGACTTCGGTGGCTGAAAGATGTACATGTGTATGCTTGTTTGTATACTTGCTACTTGCTACATATATCTTCATCTGTGTGTTTATTCCATACATGTGGTGCATGGATTCTGTTTTGCTCTTCCCTTCCAGTCGCCACAGCCCAATATGGTGGTGTATGAATGTCTGTGGGAAGGCTGTGGCCACCAGTATGAGGGTGAACCGGTTAGTGTATAATTATCCTACTGAAGATCAGAAACAATTCTGTGGAATGTTGATGTTGTGTTTAGTTGTGTACTATGTGTATGTACCACATGCACTACTTCAGGGCATGGGTTTTGCACTTTGGCTGAATTTCACCTGCCACAGCTGTATCTAACTTGGTAAGGTGTGTGCATGTGTGTGGGTGTGTGGGTGGGCAGGTGGGCAGGTGTGTGCGTGTGCTTGTGCTTGCGCGCGTGCATGCGTGCGTGTGTGTGTGTGCGGGTGTCATTTCAGTCTCCATTGCTTGATCTGGTCCTTGTAGCTGTTCACAGTTTCTGTGCATGCACTGCGCGCGATAATAGTTTTGCTCTACTGGTGTATTTCAGTGTCAGTGCATGATAACTTACTGACATGGCTCTCTCTTTCTCTCTCTCTCTCTCTCTCTCTCTCTCTCTCTCTCTCTCTCTCTCTCTCTCTCTCTCTCTCTCTCTCTCTCTCTCTCTCTCTCTCTCTCTCTCTCTCTCTCTCTCTCTCTCTCTCTCTCTCTCTCTCTCTCTCTCTCTGCTGATGTGCTGCAGGACTTCTTATCACACATGACTAACACCTATGAAGGCAGTCACTTGTACAGCTCCTCTCACCTGGGCACTCCCGGCGAGTACCCCTGCAAGTGGACAACATGCCAGCGGTTCAAGCGTAATGCGTAAGTAACGGCTCACCTGTCGGTAGAGATGATATTGTGGTGCTGTATGCAGGACATGTAGTGTATTCTGTAGTACTCCAGACCTGACACTGTGATGGTGTGTTGATGATGCCCTGTGATCATTTATGCTGGGTTTTTTTAGGGTAATCTTTTTTTATTACAGCTGCTGGTGATGCCGAGTGAAAACTCACTACCGGTATGCAGCTACATGCTGTATGCCATGGGAGTACTTGTAGAGGTCGGATGCTAGTCTGTAGTTGCAGTTCTCAGTACTTTGAAGTAATTCTGCAAGAAACTTGGCCACAGCACACTGATATCGGCGGTATTACTTGTCCTATTGCCCGTCTGCTTGCTAGATCTGCGTGTCTGTATAAGCTATGAAATGTTAACGTCTCTTCCTGTTTCTCTGTATCTGTCTCTCTCTCTCTCTCTCTCTCTCTTTCTCTCTTTCTCTCTCTCTCTCTCTCTCTCTCTCTCTCACTCTCTCTCTCTCTCTCACTCTCTCTCTCCAGGCCATTCCTGTCACACTACAAACTGAGCAAGCACATTCGTGAGAATCACCATGGTCATGGACGGCGCATGATCACTATTGCACAGCGCTCACCGTAAGTCAATAGCATGCTTGTCTATCATCATTTTTTTGTAAGCAGGTTTGTTAACTGGCGCTGCTCTTGTGACATGCTGTTTGGGAAGCGCACTTGTACAGTGTATTTGTGTTCGGCTTCTATTGTAGAATTGCTCAAACTAGGATATGATCACTCCACTGGTCGAAGTATTCCAATCTGTGTAATGTGTGTGCTTGGGTTCCGTAGAAATTACTTTCCCCGCTCGGTGACTGTCAGCAAGTCAGCTGCCACTGGAGTGGCGTCGGCGGCAAGTTTGGCAGCCTCTCCGCTTGCAACACCAGTCACAGCAAGCATGCCAGGACAAGCGGCCCTGGCACTGGCCGGTGCTGCTACTTCTGCTGCTGCTGCTGCACCAGCTGTCAATGGTGAGTTACTGCAGGGCATGCCTTCGCTGGGCCGTTTGTTGTTGAGAATGTTGGCAGTGGCAGTATTGTGCCAGTAGTAGTGGTTTTGTCATGTCTAGAACACTATACTGCTCCATAGAACTTGTTTGTGCCTTAGTCAATCTTAGCCAGTCTAATAGCCAGTCTTAGTCGGTCTTAGCCCCAGTCTTAGCCAGTCTTAGTCGGTCTTAGCCCCAGTCTTAGCCCCAGTCTTAGCCCCAGTCTCAGCCCCAGTCTCAGCCCAAGTCTCAGCCTAAGTCTTAGCAGCCAGTCAATACCATCTTTCAAGACATACCAACCAATTTGACCCTTATGCTGAGAAGAGGGAGCTGGCTGATGGGATGCAGCTAGAAACAGCTGATGCAGCAGTCGTCGGTGCACACACTGATATAGCAGATGTGCAAGTTGGCAATGTCTGGGGAGAGTCGTTTTGCAAATAATCGACGTGGAGACAACAATTTATCGACGTGGAGACAACAATTCTTCAGTCACGACTTTCCACTGATGAATGTGACAAGAAAATTAATTCTGGTAAACTTTCATGACTTCGTTGTAGTGTGGCGATGACTGCAGAATTTGTTCTCTTTATTGCTATTATAAGAGAGTCGTTTTCCTTGTCATTTGCTTGGGAGAGATGCATGTCCTCTGAAGCTGTCTACCAGTCACAAGTGCGGTGTTTCCTCCCCAGTGCTCTCCAGTCAAGTCTTTTCTGTGGAGAATTTCCATTGCAGAATAATAAGTGATGTAGAGCCTCTCCTTTCCGCTCCTTCCTGAGCATACCCAAATTACGTGAAGCCCAAACCTATAATTATGTACTGTAGTACGTTGCACTGCAGTCTCTGCTAATTTCCTTATTCGGTCATCAACCGCAGGTTGTCACTTTCATAAAAAAAGTTTTTTTGTAACGCCCCTCCCCACACACTACACAATGCAAGGGAAACTTGCTCTGTGTGTTGTATGGCAATCATGACAGTCAGCCACAGTTACTAAGTGAGTGCGTTCGATTTTGCCCACGAATCGATATTGACTCCATTCATGAGTTACCCCTGGCTACTCGCATCACCCCATGTGAATTGGATGAATCGATTCCGAACTGATTCCAGGGCTCAGGACATGAATATCGAACGCCTTGAATGCACAAGGTTACATTCATGAATGGATTCATAGGCGTAATCGATTCATAGGCGTAATGGATTCATAGGCGTAATCGACACACTCACTGTACTACTGACTTTGCGCCAGCTCAAACTTACTGTATCCTGTTTTCGGTGCACGTGTCTCTGTGTTTGTATACGCTAGGGGCAACGGCGGCAGGGTCAAACCCGACAGGCAGTGCAGCTCAGCAGGTTGGTAACAGCTAGTATCAATCATGATTCGTGACCATGCTACCCATGGTATCCATGCTATCCATGCTATCCAGACCGTGATCATTGTCTCCATACTCAAACACATTCACACCTACGCCATTGGTTCTCGTTAGACATTGCTGGGGTGTCCTGAAAAGCGCAAATTGCACTCGTCTTTTCCCAGCGGAGATCCTACAATCAATATTGTACAGCGTCCTGTTGCAGTCGATGGATGGGCTAGTTTTCTGTGCTGCTGTGCTAGTAAAGACTGGAGACTTGCAGAGAACGGGGTCATGCTAGTACAGACTGGAGACTTGCAGAGAACGGGGTCATGCTAGTACAGACTGGAGACTTGCGGAGAACGGGGTCATGCTAGTACAGACTGGAGACTTGCGGAGAACGGGGTCATGCTAGTACAGACTGGAGACTTGCGGAGAACGGGGTCATGCTAGTACAGACTGGAGACTTGCGGAGAACGGGGTCATGCTAGTACAGACTGGAGACTTGCGGAGAACGGGGTCATGCTAGTACAGACTGGAGACTTGCGGAGAACGGGGTCATGCTAGTACAGACTGGAGACTTGCGGAGAACGGGGTCATGCTAGTACAGACTGGAGACTTGCGGAGAACGGGGTCATGCTAGTACAGACTGGAGACTTGCGGAGAACGGGGTCATGCTAGTAGTAGTACATTGTAGTGAGTTGATGTATTGTGTCTACATTACAGCTAGCTCTCACACATACACATCTTGTCACCTTAGAAGAGCATGGTGCCTTTATGCTATGTCTGTATGGAATATATCCTGAGTGTATGGTGTGTGTGTTCTCCTATTGCAGACTGCAGCCACTACACCCGCAGCACAGCTACCTGGAGCATCCACGAGTAATGCAGGCACTGCTGCTGCACCTACACAGGCTGCTAGTAGTACTGCTGCTGCTGCTGCTGCCGGAACAGCAAGCAATACTTCAGCATCAGCTCAGGCAAGCTCAGTACCGGCTGCAGAGAGTGAGGAGGAAAGATCTAGGAAGCTTCACACAGCACTATATTCATCGTAAGTGCAACGAAACAGAGCCCAACCATGCCCGTTGCCTCTTTTAGCTTTGTCACAAGAAGGCTGGTAGTAAGGCAGACCTATAAACGTTACAATGTACTACTGTTGTCCATTTTCTCTCTTCTAGTACGCCTTTGTACGCCTTCTGTTTTTTTTGGGTTTTTTTTAGCCATCACAACTGTGCGAGTCATCGTGTTGACCTGCAATCAATGTATGTGTACGTGTTGCTGCTTCTTTGCTGCTGCTGCTGCTGCTGTAGGTATGTGGCAAGTGTCCAGACCCCCTCCGACACGCTCAGCCAGTGGAGCAATGTGACAAACAATGAGAATTTGCCAGCCACACTGACCCTGCAACAGCTGCCGGTCGCCTGGCTACCGACGGAGATCTCCAAGCGAAGTCCTGCTGTGCCACAGGCACAGCAAAACCAGACTATTCTCAAATCGCTGCTGACGCTGCGGCAGCTGATGCTGCGTGACGCAGCCACCCTCTCAGACTGGTCCACAGATACGAACTGATAATCTGAACCTGTGTTCGAGCTCCTTATGCACATGCACCGACCGTCTTTCCTTACCTATAAGTTAGTGTTGGTGTTACCGTACATTGTTCCATAGAAGTGCAGCAAGGTTCTCTGTGTGTATCTATCTCATCCCGCCGTGTCTCTCTGTCATATGCATTCCGTAGCCGTGCTGACTGTATCCTGTAGAGCTAGCTGTGTTTCATGTGTCCTGTCTTAGCATCTTAGTATAGTTTCTAGCTTTTCTTCATATCTCAAACGGTGGACGCCACACCACATCTACTTCAAGTAGGTCTTACTCTTAGTAATTCATGGAACCACGTAACAATCCATAATAATAAGAATAATACCATCAAATCAGGCATGTGTACATGGTACGTGTACAGTCATGGTCTTTCAGCATGGCAGCTGTAAGTTCTCAACACTTGTGTTCACTGCATTTATGTTTTCAATGTTCTTCCTCTGTATAGGTGCACTGTTGGCATTTTCTTGCACAGTTGTGAAAAATTCAAGATGTCGAAAAGTCAAAAAAAATGCTGCGTTCACTTTGTGCTGAGGAATATGCCGGTGAGACGGGCATCTGTCAGGAAGCATTTCGAGGAGAACATTGCATAGAGGCTGGACTCAGCATGGCCATATGGGGAAAAAAGACACTGTGCCCAACGATATGCAAACATTACACCTCAAAGCACCCAATTCCCCTGCTGCCACGCAATCCAAAAGAGACCACGCATTTGTGAATAGCCACAACAACACTACAAGAGAATAATGTCAACTGAAATAAATAATTCCCAAATGTTGATCGAGTGTAATGTGTACACGACCAGTGCACATGAATGAGTCCATGAGCGGAACTGGAGAGGTATAGTGTTATTGTTTTCTTTATTAGAATTCGCTAAAACTCACATGTAACGGACAGAACTGTCCAGTGACAAGGGAACGAATGATGAGCGTCATATCACTATGCATCAAAACATCTCGGGGCAAAATGAGGTGGACTAGAAGGAGAGTTCGCACAACGCTAGTACTGAGAGAACGAAGGCGTGGTTGAAGTCTAAGCAAGAAAGCAATCAATCAACACCGGAGATATTTTGTGCACCAAAAACAGAGAGACAGGCAGACAGACAGACAGAGACAGACAGACAGACACAGAGAGAGAGGAGACAGAGACAGAGACAGACAGACAGACAGAGACAGACAGACACAGAGAGAGAGAGGGGGGGGGGTGTTACTGAGTGTCATTCAATGGTGTAGCTGCTGCTACCTCACTTCGCCCTCTTCCGGCTCATCTTCCTCATAAGCATCATCAGCAGCAGCAGCAGCAGCAGTAGCTGCACCCCCATCACTGACGGCAGTGTCAACCCCTCTACAGTCACTGCCAGCACCAACATCTTCAGTTTTCACCAGCAACTTCTTTGCCCTTTCGTCACGTGTCTCTACAGGACCATCAGCTGCCGTTCCTGCATCATCAATACTAAAATCCGATCGAGAGCTGGACCGGGATCGCTTCTTTCGTTTCTTCTTCTTGCGCCGCTTGTGACGTGTGTAGTCATTATCGCTGTCATCCATTTCTTGTTTCACATTAGTTGTTCCCTCCACACCATCGTCAGGACGATGACGATGGTGATGACTTTGCTGGTCAGCTTCCCTCTCATCACCGCGGTCATCATCATCTACATTGCTAGGGCCACGACGCTCGCGTCTTCTTCTACCCAGCTCACTGTCATTAGCATCACTGTCATCGTCATGGTGACGCCCACGCTTACCACGTCGATAGTACTCAGTGCTGTGATCATCATCAGCAGAGTGGTGGTGGTGATGGCGATCGTAACCATGGTGACTTCTAGACGACTGCTTTGAGTGGCGATGATAATCCGAGGCAGATGGTGGTGAGGAGTGTCGAGATGCGGGACGTCGACTTTCCGCTGTTGATCGCTGGCGAGAAGAGTGCTCGCGTCTCTCAAGTGAAGGAGATGACTTGCGCTCTTGACCATGAGCTGAGCTACGCTGATCACCACTGTGGTGATGATGGTGTCTTTGTTGTGAGGGTCTACTACGATCTCCCCTGTCATCACGGTCCTGGTTGGCATGGCGACGGGGAGAGGATGTGGAGCTCTGTGCTGCCTGCTGATTGCGGTGCATGGTGGGCCGTTCATTATCAGACTGATGCGCTTCTTGGCCGTCTTCAGCGACCAGCTCTTTCATACCCACAGCTATCAAGTCACGCATTATCTGCTCAAACACAGCGCAAAATATCAGCAAGAGCAGCAGAAGCAACAGCGGCAGAATACGTGTTACATGTATTCCCAGGTACGGTTTCTAGAGGCGGTGTGCTACATCATGCTATTGCGTATTGGCAAGCAAGTTTTCAATGAAGCTATGTCAGATACGAGAAAGAGAGAGAGAGGAGGAGGAGGAGGAGGAGGAGGAGGAAAGAGAGAGGAATGAAACTGCTACAGGACCGTAATCACATCCAAAAGCAGTCAGAAAGCCGAGGTTGGTAAGTGGTAAGGGATAAGGGGAATAAAGACATGCTGCTCTGCTTACTTCAACTGCGTTACGCTTGGTGATGTGGACATTTTTCGCTCGATACGACTGTCGCCTGCGCTTGTAATCTCGCTCTTGTGCCAACAAGTCTACGAGATCTTGAGCTTTCTGACGATCTTCTTCATCGTACACTGGACAAGACAGCACAGATCGCATCAGAGAGGAAGTGTTTTCGCTAGTACACGTAACAGAAAGGTGAAGAGAGCATTTTTGGTAAACAGTTTCCTCTGAGACAAAATGCGATAATACTCATAAAAAGGACACACTTCAGGCTCATTACAAACATCTTGAAAGTTTTTGTCTTCACAAGTATACTTTCAAGCCTTCTCATCAGGTGAAATACAGGCAAGGGAAAAGGAACAGGAACAGTGGATTAAATACAGTAAGAAGGTGGTAAAACAGCGCAAAAAGAAAGAAAGAAAGAAAGAAGATAGCTAAAGTAAACAGCGAAAATTGCAATAATGACACAAAGGTGCAAATGCGAGAAAACTCAATAAGCGCGACATGTAGTGCGACAACAAGAGACAACCACTGGACATACATGTAACTAACGAGGTTTTGACGACCTACCTAACAGCCTAAGTGTGAATTTGATTTGTTTCTGCTTGCAAAGGTTGGGTTTCCTTGTGTGGATGTATACAGCTTCTGTTCCTTTTCCCTTGCCTGTATTTCACCTGATGAGAAGGCTTGAAAGTATACTTGTGAAGACAAAAACTTTCAAGATGTTTGTAATGAGCCTGAAGTGTGTCCTTTTTATGAGTATTAGAGCATTTTTGCCAGGCTATAAGCACTTTTGTTCATTTGGCTTATGCGAAGACTAGCCAAGCTTGCTTGGTGATGTCAACGCGGACAAGCGTATAATAAAATTAATAATAATAAGCACTATGTGTGTGCGGAAGGATAAGAAGAGGGCGGATGGTCATGCACTCATATGCTTGACAAACGAAAATAAGATGACATCTCGCTTTGCTCATTGTTGCTCAAGTTTCCAAGTTTCTGCCTCTGTTCCTTGGTGGTATCGAACAATGCAATGTACTAACCTTTTGATCCCGGGTGCTCCTCGATAGCAGTGAGCAGATCTTCAGCCGTGAACTCGGCTTGACGCATGGCATCACGAGCGACCTGAGCATATAATACAGCATAATCATGTGTACAAAACAATGACATCATGTGTACTAAACAATGACATCATGTGTACAAAACAATGACATCATGTGTACTAAACAATGCCATCATGTGTACTAAACAGCACTACATTGTGCGTACAATGGCACCATGTGTTCAAACTGCAAAGAATGAAGAATACTGGTATGCGTGCTGGTCCCGTGATTCTTCACACTGTGCACGCATCAGCGCATCAGTACATCAGTGCATCAGAGCTACTACAAGCTTGATTATGGTCTCCAGGATGCTCAGGTGTATGGGGTGGAGTGTGTGAGCAACTTATTCACATGTACATGTATAGTGCTTTAGCAGCCTGTCACTGGGGAACACTTTGCCCACTGCACTGCTATCGCCGATGAGCAGGCCCGGCTGGACGTAGCTGCCAACGGCATTTGGGGTGGTAGATTTGAGCACACTTTCATAGAAGTACGAGTGTTTTACCCTCATGCGTCCTCAAATCGTACCGCCTCACTTGCCTCACTTGCCTCAACCTATGTCCGCCAGGAAAAGGAGAAGTGGCGAAAGTACGAGCAACGGGTTCGGGACATCAAACATGCCTCATTTGTGCCAGCAGTCTTCTCTACTACTGGAGGCATGGGTCCGCACTGCTCTGCCCTCTACAAACGCATGGCCACCTTGACAGCTGAGAAGACCGGCGAGCCGTACAGCGTAGACATGGCCTGGGTCAGGCTTCGCCTCATTGTTGTGCTCTCCTAAGGTCGAGCATCGTGTGTATTTGTGGTGCCCGCAACCTCCGATCCTGCGGTGATGTTTCATCACCTGCCTCTCTCGCAGTAGTAGCAGAGGCAGCCATCCGGCAGCTGCAGAGACATTGTAACACGTCCCCATGACTATTGCCATTGTCTGTTTCAACATTCTCGCGACTCCTTTGCCAAATTCTTTGTTGTCATCAATGTCATGCATAATGTACTTCTTTTGCCCGTATAAGAGGCTTGATACTATTACAAATGACATGATGGCCCTTGATGGGTGACATCCTGGAGAAATCCAGCACAGTGCAGTGCATGGCATGCCTACAGATTGCTGCATTCTCAACACATAGACACAAATAGGGCCGGGCGAGGCAGCTCAGAGCAGAGTGCTTGATGCACGATGCCTGAAGTTACAGCTACACCGCACAGGACCGGTGGAAGCAGTTTGTGATTGGTACGGCCACAACATAGCCTTTCATACAGTTTGTGTATGATATACACTGCAGTAGGAACACATGACCTCCAAAACAGCAGTTAACACACGCCGGTGGCCTAAATGTTGGTCTGGCCAGTGGTCATGGCCTGACAAACTGGACCGGTTCCCCGGGCCTGCAGCAGCATACACACTTGAATAGCACGCCTTGCCAAACTCACCTCCACTGCATGTTCATAGAGTGCCAATCGTTGTGCAGGAGTCAGTAGTGAAGACAGCAAACTACATGGAATGTGCATGTACGGAGCAAGTCTGGCGTGTAGCTCGGATGATCCACCTTGAGCAGCTAGTGTACGTATGTGCATGCATGAGTGGTAGACAGACAGACAGACACACACACGGACAGATAGACACAGACAGACAGACAGACAGACAGACAGACAGACAGACAGACAGACAGACAACGCAACGGTTGAAAGGTAGACCACATAATTGAGTGAGTGTCTCATGTTGCATTCTGCATGTTAGACTGACACACAGTCGACACCTTAGTTCGTTCAAACCAACATACATGTAAAACAAAAATATTCCCAACACATAGGTATGACAATAGTCACATGAAGCAAACATATCCTCACCTGGATTTGGCTGTTGCTTAGTAGCTGCTTCCACCAAGAACACATGGTGCTATTTAGAAGAGAAGAAAAGACAAACAGTGCAGATTAGTAGGTATCAGTGATGCCATACATACCGTCCATAGCAATTAGTGATGTCATACATCGTTTCCGTCGGTGACCGGATGTCTGTGATGTCATACATCGTTTCCGTCGGTGACCGGATTTTTGTGATGTCATACACACAGTCAGTACTCAGTAGGTATCAGTGATGTCATACATACTGTCCGTAGGTATCAGTGATGTCATGCATATTGTCCGTAAGTACAAGCATCAGTGATGTCCTGCATCAAGACAAGAGTACATCAACCAGAGTGTTCACTGTGTTGAGAGTACCAGCAGGTATGAGTGATGGCGTACATACCGTGGCCAGACCCAGCGATGGCGACATTCCTAGCGCAATGAGGAACTTCCACAAGCGAAGGACAAACTCCCGACCAGCTAAGGGGACAGTGGTCATGCACACAGAACACACAACGTAACCACATAATATACTGTACAGGCAGAAAATTCCGTCGGTCAACGATTTCGTCCAACTCCAAAGAAAGGGAGTTCGTCCAGTTGTAAATTTCGTCCATGGATCATAAGAGTGTATTGAAAAGCTGCATAAGTCGACATTAGTCCGGCATTTAATTTAGTGCAAAAGCTCCTTGGACGAAAAAGACGAAATTAAATTCCAGACGAATATTTCTGCTTGTACAGTATGCAGGAAACACAAAGAGAAGAGAAGGAAGCCAATGGCACAATAGAGCCTAAACTCCATTCCACTCACATTGTGACTAAATAGGATACAGCACTTCCCGAGTAGAAGTCGTGTGAATGTAAGTCTTACCCCTTCCTTGGCAGTGAAGATCAGTGACATTGTTACACCCCCCCCCCCCCTTCTGTCATGACGTTGACATGATGCTCAACGTCATGACATTGTTTGCACTGTAGTTTCTTAGTCTTCAGAGTACGCGTACTAGCCAATGTACACGTCATAGTTTGTGTTCTCATTCCCAGTTTGTTTCCGTGACTGCCTGAAGTATGCGCACTTTCCCTCAACCCAACCCAAGCAAGCTACTATAGAACAGTGTGTATACAGGGGCGTGCTCGGCTCCCCTTCCAGGGGGGGGGGGGGGGGGGCACCACTTCCAGACAACAGCAAGTTTCAAAAGGTTGAACCGGTGACATCATCAGATATATGTACATGTGACGTCATTATTACTGTTGCAAAGATTGTGTGTCATCAAGAATGAACACAGTACGAGGTGATTTGGCTTTTTTTAACATGGTTGTAAAATCACGTTTTTTCAGTCACGTCTAGACAAGCTACGTCCAAATGAATTGTTGCAAATGGAAGGGCTATCCTTCATGCCCGTTGTGTCCAAAAATGGGAATGATCCCACTTTGGAAAGTGTCTTGAATCATGTCCTACTTTCATAGTATTCTCGGGATTCAAATAATTGGTGTGTCATTTTTTAACAAATTTGTAAAACTGGGATATTCGGTCGTCAATGTTCTGAAGTTGAAAGATATCACTTCAAGGATTGCTAGTGGATGAAAATTAATTTGTCAAGAGGGGAGTGAACTGCATTGTATGCTGCGAAAGCCGTGTTTTTGTATTTGCAACTAGTGGCTATGGTATACGGAGGAATTGGATAGGTAGCATAGCATCGCAGCCATGTTTTCGTTCTCACAGAGTGTATTCCGTGACCTACTGTTCTTCATTTTTTTTTTTTTTTTTTGGATTTTTATTTATAGTGGTGACTATAACAGACAATTGCCTAATAACAATAGACCCACTCGAGGGAAAGATGCAAAAAGATATGAATAATTAATATAATAGACTACCGGTAACATTACTGTCTTTAGTGATGGCAAGACGGCCTGACGTCGTCCAAAGGCCCTGCGGAAGCAATTCACTGCCCTCCTCGTCCATTCAGGACCTCATTTTACACATTTTACACAAAATGGCAAAGCACCCACCACTAGTTATACCGACGTGGCAGGGAGAATTAAAATATATGCACCAAATTGTCTGGTCAATGTTGATCTACGATAAACTGGCTCTCATTTGCGACCACCCATGTTTCGATACAGCCATCCGGAGCAGAGAAACAGCCAGAAGAAAAGCAAATTTTACACATTTGCTAAAAAATGCCAAATGTTAAAAAAGCCAAATCACCTCGTACAGCATCATATCAATTTTTTCAAAATAAAGGATGAAAACTTTACAAATGTTTAAAAACCAATCCGTCGATAGCACTGTGCCAGGCAGGCCGATGCAAACACATATAATTGCACGGATATAGCTACTTCGAAGTAAGAACAATCGTCACACTAGTTGACGTATCTGGACAGGATTCGGCGAGGAGAGCATCGAAAGAACAGCTTCAGAACCTCATCTTTGTTTACAGGCATGCCATAATTATAGTAGTGGGTATGCAGCAGAGCAAGCCCGCTGCAACGCTCTCCAGTCATGGTGCTCCTCAGGTAAGTCTTCAAAAGCAGCAAGTTGCTGATGTTGCGCTCACAGGAGCACGTGGTTACGGGTAGCTTGGCTAGGCCGGATGAGCAGCTGGTACCAGGCCCCTACTCCCCCTACTGCACTACAACTTACTAGTACAATGTACAAGACACAGGTGCAGGATGTGCTCCCGCGAGGTCGGGCTTTCCGCAATACATTGGTGACTTTTCAAAACCCCGGTCGAAATATTTTGGGGGGTGCACTTGCCCCCTGTGCCCCTCGCCGAGCACGCCCCTGTGTATATAGATGCAAAGGTTAGCATGGGTGCACACACACACACACACACACACACACACACACACACACACACACACACACACACAAACACGCACACACAAGCATAGCGGCACGTTAGCCGCCTTGCTCTTACACACCACTAAGCACTCACATCGGCCAAGCAGTGGCTTGAGCTGCATCAGTGTGCTATCAGCGCTGCAAGATGGCGACTGAAGAAGTGACATGACGACATTCAACAGCTGACTTTCTATGTCCACCACAGTACTGCATGTGAACACACACGCATGCATACACCGCACAGCACAGCACACAGAATATCAAGGAACACAATGACTGAGATGCTCACATCCTGCTTGACTCCTGTGCATGTACGTGTCAGCAAGAGTCCATAAACAAGAGTATGCAACTGTGATCTCTTTTCTATGGGCCAGATGCGTGGCGCGATGCCTTCATTACAACATTCAGCTGCAGTCCGCGCACTGCGGAAAATCAAACACCACACGTTCCCTCTGGTTGGAAATGAACCTTCGTACGGAACTGGAGTTCACGTGCCCAAAGTTTAGACCGCATGGGTACTCGACCGAATCGAGCAACGGGTGAGTCATGCTCCTGTGCAAATGGTGGAAGATGTTGTTGTACACACTGCTACCCTGACCGTGATGACCGGTGCACGGCTTTCGGCAACGTGGATCTTCAGAACACTGCTGTCAGGAGTGACGGTACCAGGCTTGGGTTCTGTACCTGATACTCACCCTGCACTAGTCTACAGCACAGTGTTGGCAGGTCTAGGGCTGCAGAGCACCCGGCAGATCTAGGGCTGCAGAGCACCCGGCATGGCGTACTGGACCCACAGAATCGGATTTCACCAAGCAGCAGTGTACTTTGACAGTGTACTTTGACGCGAGTATGGGACGGCGTTGTGCTTATACTATCACCAACACATAACATGCGGCGGCTGTACTATATAAACAACTACCCACCGGCAAAGCTCACCTCATAAGTGTTGAAGCCGGTATGTTTGACTTGATCCATTTCTCCACCGCACTGTGGTCCAGTGGCTGGATATCAACATGCCAGAATTGATGTGGGATCAGTTGCCATCCAAACACTTTCCTGCAACACACAATGGGCAAGCACAAGTGGACAGGAGACGGGGAAGAGATGAGCTAAAATTAATACAGTCGTCCCTCTTTAATCCAGCACAATTTTCAGCAGCCAGAATGTCTTCTTCATGCCCAGTGCAGCAGTAAATCTGATTTGTTAACCCAGCACCCTCCCTATTGCAGCAGAATTTCCGGAGCACAAATGGTGCCGGACTAAAAACGGACCACCATACAGTCTAATGCACGCAGGGCAGTCAAGGACCGCACCAGATCTCAGCAGACACAAAACGCCATCTTCCCATACTGTAAGTCGACAAATTTTTGGCCCATTCAAATTTCGGCCTCCCAGGGCAAAACCCATTTTGGCCGCATCGAACTTTCGGCCCGTACTGCTCGCCTGGATACGCTGTCACACTGAACCTTGCAAAACAAATTTTTCGGCCGCAACAAATTTTTCAGCCGCAACAAATTTTTCGGGCAAACATGACCAGGCCGAAATTAGCCGAAAATAAATATGCGGCTAACATTTGTTGACTTACAGTAGCTGCTACTTACAGCAGAGGTTCTCTTACCTGAGTGTCTCCATGGGTGATAGTGCTAGACCTGGTGATATCCAGGTCTGTGTGCCCTGCAACGTCGCGTAGTGATCACCACCAGCAACACCAGCACCAGCAGTACCAGCAGCACTGCTCCACACACCACTGCTAGACACACCACTACTAGATACGCCGCTGGTGACATTGCCTGCAGCGCCGCCGGGAGTCTGTCAACAGTGTAGCCAAGCAGACAGACAGACACACACAGACACACAGACACACACAGACACAAACAGACACACACACACATGTACATTCAAGTAGGTATGTGCACACACAAACACACACAACACACACAAACACACACACACACACACACACACACACACTTGTACATTCAAGTAGGCATGTGCACACACAAACACACACTTGGCTCTCCATCCGAGTCCATACAAACACACACACACACACACACACACACACACACACACACACACATACACACACATGCAGGTAGGCACGTGTACGCACAAACGTGTTCAGGGAATCTAGTCTCAATTTAGTCAAAACTAAACCTGTATCAGGGATGGGTGATGAACTGGCATATCAAGCCACTAGGCCACCGTCATCTATGAAGCTACAGTTCCACAGTTGTTCGCTTTGTAATAATTGAAGCCGTAGACATACGAGTAGACACATGTATCAAAGAACGAGATAAACAACTGAAGATCAGCCTCGCTCCAACATCCATACTATGCCTTATATAGAGACATTTCGGTACTTCTTCCCAATCTGTTGCGAGCAATTGACCAGCGGTATTCTCCTCTTACAAGGCCATGGGAACTGCACTATACACTACACTACACTATACTGCATTACACTGCATTGTGCATTGGGCTTGCAGTTGGCTCAGTTGGCAATTCCGGCATATGTCTCTTTCACTGGCCATTTGGCACTCAAATAGTTGCCATGAACACATCCAAGCAAAAAATTGCAACAGGAACGGTCGCTAAAGCCACGTGGTCTTTAGAACCAAGTCCCATAGTGTCTGTGTAGAACTGTCCGTGCATGGAAAAACGGTCGTTGAGAGCAGGTGGTCGCTAAAACCAGAGGTCGCTTACACCAGGTTTTACTGTACCAAAATTCCCTCCTGATGTTCAGGACATTGTCTAGACCCGACCGCAGGTGTCTGAGGCTAATGGAGAGAGCCTTGGGTGGTGGTGGTGGTGGGTGGGGGTCATCGTACCTGATGGGAACGGCTGACTGGCAATGTTGATGTTGAGCCAGTGTTGCTGGAACAAAGTACACAGAAGTTACAAAAACAGGTTTGTGATGTGGACAGACATTTACAACAGACCAAAGTACACAAGGCTCTTTTTGCATAGCATCCATTGGCATTAGCTACTGGCACCTGCCCAGTATGCAAGTACATGTAGCTCATAATACAGCACACAGACACACATGCACAAACACACACACATACACGTACAAACACACCACTTGACCATTTGACGCCCATTGCCGGAGGCGATGATAGCGATGCTACAGCAGAAGCCATTGTTATATCATCCGTATCATGCCGGTCATGATTGTCGGAAGCTATTGTCTGTGTTGTGGTTGACTTCACTCCTTAGTACTATTGACTGGCCTTTCGTACAATACCTATTGATGTCTAGAGACATACTGTCTAGCCTTCCCCTCGTGCGCTTATTGATACACTATCCAGCTGTCCAGTGGCTCTCCTTCCACCGCTCTCTATCTGCTATACTCTTCTTCACACTCTATAAGTTCGTGTCGTCTTTACAATAAAATCAGTTCAGTGACTGACGAGTTCGAGATCACAACATGGTGTCAGAAGCGGCTTGATTACGAATCCAGCCGAGTTGCTTGCAATGTAGTCCTCAAACTGTACTCCTCTTTACCCGTTTTAGCCCTCCCACTCAGGCTCTCTCTAGCAATTCTGGCTCATTGCAGAAACCGTCCGTCTGCCTCATTGCAGAAACCGTCCGTCTGCTTCATTGCAGAAACCATCCGTCCGTCTGCCTCTAAGCAGCCTCCCTGCCTCCGCGTTCCTACCGGTCGCAGCTCCTCGTGTAAGTCTCATTGCAGCTCCTGCATAGTCCTCAGACGACGTCGATGACCTCCTCGTTCGAGAACAACTGATCGTGGCCCTCCCGGCCGATGCCCAAGTCTTCCTCTTCCGTCAAGCGCCTCAGACTGCTACCACAACTGTCGAGCAGGCCGAAACTTACCTGCGAACGGAGAGGACAGAGATGGCGCTCCGCAAGTCTCTCCCGGGTTCACCACCCCTCGCAAACGCGGCGGAAACCTCAGACAACTCGTCGTACTGTTCGACCTCCGACACTCAGTGTAGTGACGATCCATCGAGTCCGTGGTGGTGCAGCTCACCCTCGGCGTGATTGCCCAGCTACAGCCAAAGACTCGCAAGAAACGAACCGTTTGTTACTTGGTCACTTCCGCGTGTGTCAACAGCGCCAACGTGACACAAGTCAGAAATCCGTGGGTGGTGTTACTGTAAGTACCACCACAGCACGAACCAGTCATGCTGTCCGTGAGTGCGATGCTGACATGGACTCTCCATGCAACTCCATGTACTTTCTACATGACTTGTACTAGTATTCGGTACTCGTAGAGTCGCACTGTGATCTCTGCGTCTTGCTCTTTGTGCTCACACTCCTTCCACATAACGCATGGTTGCGCTCTTTCTCTGCTGGCTCTAGTATCAAATGCTCCAGTTCTATCTGGCCTCTTTGCCCTCTGTTTTCACTCTTTGCTTGAAAGGGGAGATGTTATATCATCCGTATCATGCCGGTCATGATTGTCTGAAGTTATTGTCTGAGAGTGGTTGACTTCACTCCTTAGTACTATTGACTGGCCTTTCGTACAATACCTATTGATGTCTAGAGACATACTGTCTAGCCTTCCCCTCGTGCGCTTATTGATACACTACCCAGCTGTCCAGTGGCTCTCCTTCCACCGCTCTCTATCTGCTATACTCTTCTTCACACTCTATAAGTTCGTGTTGTCTTTACAATAAAATCAGTTCAGTGACTGACGAGTTCGAGATCACAACAGCCATAGCAGCTTGTGCTGGGATTGCACCATTCAACAGCTTGCAAGGCTGAAGAATTGACCGCCGCTATTCAGCCTGGTCTACATCACACACCTATGAAGCGGCTTTTTCTGGCCAGTGAATCCCTACTTTTTGGTCTTTTTCATCTTTTTTTCACGCACACACATCACACCACACACTCTGGCATGCACTAGCTGTTGGTAACCACCCAGGAGAATGAAAGAAAAGTCAGGAGGAGTCTGAGAAAGAGAAGAAAGACGTGTGTGACCATAATCGTCGGGAATCGAACCCGCAACCTATCGATTGGAAATCGCTGCACATACCACTGCACCATATGGGACACACACAAACACACACACACACACACACACACAAACACACACACACACACACACACACACACACACTTATAGGCAATTCACACGACAGGCACTTGCACGTTTTACAGGGAGTGACATACGAGAAAAGTGACTGTGTGGATTCACACAGATGCACTCGACGACAGGCACGTTCGCATTTTTGAATGCTTCACCGACCAGTAGCCATGGGTATTTCAAATTTTCAAAACACGCATACAATAACTATCATGCTCTAAAGAGCCGCGTAAAAAAATCAAGTCTTGTTTTGCGCTTTGGTGTAAATGTACTCGTGCACGCCGCGATTATCGTGAAAGTGGGCCCCCTGCTCGCTTGCACTTTTCAGCCACTTTCAGCCACTTTTCTCGTTCACAGGTAAAATACCATAGCAACTTTCGGCGCACGTGGATTTGCCTGTCGTGTGAATACCCTATTACACACACACACACAATATATATATACAGGGGCGTCGGAAGGAGTTTGACATTGGTGCGGCGAAAGTGTGAGAGGGGGGTCCGGGGGTTCTCCGAAAAATTTGAAAATTCGGCCTAAAAGGCCATATTTTAACGCTACAAAATAATATGAGAAATAAGAATATGCATGCTGATGATACACCGCATTGTCGATGTAAAACATGGTACCTGTACAAGAGTCGACAAGCCAACAACAAGGTTGAAATGTAAAAAATAAAATAAAATAAAAACTTCGAAAATTATTGGTGCGGCTTTGGCCACACCTGCTGCACCGGTTCCGACGCCCCTGATATATCACCAAACTACTGCTACAAGTACCTTGCTTGAGCGCTTGTACAGATCCCACTCAGTTGGCCAGCATCTACAGCATATAATCATCAGGTATATCACATCAACAGCTTTCTTGGAGACCAAAACCCAATCACACTCAGGAAAAATACAATCAGTTCAGGCTCCTTGCAAGCAATACTTTCCAAATTTTCCGCAAGCACTTGAGACTCATCAGGTGGAATGCAGACAAAAAAAGAAACCGAATACCAGTAAAGCACAATGAATTTATACAGCAGAGAGGTGACAGAAGCAGCGCAAGGAAAAGTAGCCAGAAACAACGCGGCAACATGTGTAACCTCCTCATACACAGACAGGGATGACAAAAAAGTGAATGTGTGAAGAAACCTAACAAGTGTGCTATGCACAGCGATAGACAACCAATGACAAAAGTAACGAGTTGTTGACGACCTAGCAAACAGCCTAAGTGTGAATTTCATTTGTTTCTGCTTGCGGATGTTAGGTTCCTTAGTGTAAATACATGTACATGTATAAGTAGATGTAAGAGTACTGGCAATAAAGAGTGTGGAAAAAAAGAGAAAAGAAAAGACGGTGAAGTGCGAAAGGCTCAAGTAAGTATGAGCTAACAATAGGAGTGGGTGAAGAGAACTCCTTATTTTGATTTTCTTCTCTTCACTCACCCCTGTTATTAGCTCACACTTACATGAGCCTTTCACACTTCACACTTCACTGTCTCTTCCTTTCTCCGTTTTCCACACTAAATATAAGTAGCTTCCAAAGCATTCAATATCACACCTGCACTTTTCCAGCTCTTTCAACTCCCTCAAACTTATGAATATCGCGCCTTTTTGTCATTCTTTCTAGTATGTGCAGAAACGGAACAGATGTTGTCTGAGGGTTTTCAAGAAATATTCTATTTTTTGAATGCGCGAACTGTTTTTTTATTAGTATGCGCATGAAGTTACGCAGTTTACCATGTTGTTTCTGGCTACTCTTCTTTGCGCTGTTTCTACCATCTATCTAACACACAATCTACAAAGATTACACAGCAATGAAGCAAACAAATCTCTTTCCTCTGTTACTCGGAGTTTCGTGTGGAAACACTCATCAGACAGCGTATGACCAAGACTAACAATCACTAGAATAGATACGGAGGGTCTTGAGAAAAGAGGGCAGAGGTGATGGAGGCACAACATTTCAATAGCGCGAGGAAAAGGAGTAACACACAATCTAGACAGTTGTCTAAGGTCCTCAGGCTGCGTATAGTGCTCTATGTCCAGTGGACAGAGCCAGTAATACAATGATCAAGGCAATAACAGCAGCAGGATTCCATCCCGCGACAGCGCGTCCACTACAGCGCGAGGCATTTCAGCGCGACCACTTCAGCGCAAGGCATTTCGGCGCTGACATGTCCTGCGCTTTAAAATTTAGCGCTGAAATCATTGGCGCTGTCAAGACACGGTGCTGAAATGGCACCGAGCTGAAATGCCTCGTGCTAAGGCGGTCGCGCTGAAGTGCACCGCGCTAACATGGACGCGCTGTCGCGGGAGGTTACCACCAGCAGCAGTGGTAACTAGAAAATCAACACACCTTAACGGACTTACCAACAAAAACCGAAACAACCCTCTGCAGTCCTTGATAGAAATATGCTGGTGAGTAGCTGGAGTTCTGAAAACAAACAAAAGAGAGGCAACAAGTCCAATCCTATTTCGAGAGAAGGACATCACATGTACCGTATTTCCTCGATTAATAGACCCGGTCTTTGTTTTTTTGAAGAGGGTTGGACCCCCGGTCTTTTGTTTGGGCATGGTCCATTATTTGAGCACGGTCCACTATATTTTCATCGGCACATCGCTGTGGAAATGGTTGGTTTTTAACACGTCAAAATCCACCATTTCCAGCGATGTGCCGATGAAAATATAGTGGACAGTATACTGTGGACCGTGCTCAAATAATGAAAGAAAGCACTAGCCACTACAAAAATTGTAGTTGCGCAACCTAAAATCGCGTCCTTTTTTGATCCACCACGTGCTTTCTTAGGCGCCGGTCACACATGCAGGCAGCGACACCGCTTTTGCGGCTGCCTCCAACACGCTGGCAGTGGGCGCTTTTGCGGCTCTTTTCTGCCGGCGGTCACACATGCAAAGGCTTTGGTACGCACGCAGCTTCACGGGTCTCCACAGGTGTCGTAAAACTTTTCTCTGAAAAAGACTGTAGCCTCAAAATTCCTTTCCTGCGCTGGTATGGATCGCAGAAACGCCCAGAATCGCCGACTACGTCGTGACCAGCGACTGCGGAGAGCTATGGAGATTGCCTCAATATTCATGTTGTTCAATTTCTCTTCGTTTGAATCTTGCGGAAGCTCCTTGAGCATCGGTGGACGCCTGAGTCGAGTCCCATGTCGGATGGTTGACCTCGAAATAGAGGGAGAGGAGCAGTTGCTCTTGGTCAGCAGTCCACTTCATGACGAGAGATGAAAAACTAATTTTTCCAAGATCCAAGAGATCCAACAACGACAACGCCGCAAAAGTTGCACTACCGCTTTTGTGTTTCGCCACCAATTTTTTGGTTGTGGCGCTTTTGAGATTGCCGCCGTGGCGCCAGTGGCGCCAGGCGCAGTATCCATGGTGATCAGGGGATATCCCAACTTTTGTGGTGCAGCTTTGGTGGTGTCGCAAAAGCGCCATGCATGTGTGACCGGTGCCTTAGTGCGCATGCACCAAGCGATGAACTCAAATAAGAGACCGGGTCTCTTATTCGGGCATGGTCTACTATTTTTCCGTGAGGCCTCTAGGAGGGTCTACTATTTGAGCATGGTCTATTATTCGAGCATGGTCCATTAATCGAGGAAATACGGTAGATATTCTCATTGATCTCCAGCACATGGATCACGCACAGTTCCACAACTTTTTTTTAATATCAACTTTAATATCATATGCTTCTGGAGCAGAACAACAGCAATAATCCAACACATCTATATCATAACATGAGTAACATAACGGGGTGAGAGCGAAAACAGTTAGACTTGCAGCCAGACAGACTGCGACTGGAATTGAAATTTGAGGCAGAGAGAGGGTGGAGAGAGAGAGAGAGAGAGAGAGAGAGAGAGAGAGAGAGAGAGAGAGAGAGAGACGGAGAGAGAGAGAGAGAGAGAGAGAGAGAGAGAGAGAGAGAGAGAGAGAGAGAGCCTTCTCTTACCCTGACGTCACTAGATGAGCCGCCATAGTGTCGGATGGCGCATTTCTCTTCATGTTTCTCCAGCGAGGCTTTTGTCACAGTGTGGCAGCTATCAACACTGCAGCTAGCCTTGTCCACTGACAAAGCCTGCAGTGCAGCAAGGAGCGAGGAAACAAGCAAACACAATACCACCGTGACCTACTAGAACAATAGCATACAGGAGGAGTATAGATATACTTCAGTACAGTAACATACCGCCAACAGACATAAAGATTTCAAATTTGGACTTCACGGAGAATTTTAAAGTATTAGGAAATTAGAGGCCACATGCCACGTACTGCTCTTTTCTCTCCGAAACTCAACACTTGCAAGCCAGATAAGAAAGAAAGAAAAAATCATCAGTCACACCACCGGGACTGGAACCAGGGACCTTGCTATTCGCGAGTAATGCTCGGTGATGTGACTGATGAATTTTTTCTTTCTTTCATATCTGGCTTGCAAGTGTTGAGTTTCGGAGAGAAAAGTGCAGTACGTGGCATGTGGCCTCTAATTTCCTAAGACATAAAGATCTTCACTTTATAGCAGACGTACTCTGCTGAGCCTGCTATGTTCTAAGCTCTGTCAATGACATTGAGCACTCTCTGTAGCTCGGGGATCGACGGATTTGTAGCCGAAGTACTGTATATAGCACAAGGTCAGACTGGAAATGGATACGCAGGATCCTCAACCAGTAAAAGAGAAACTGTCCAACTCTGGCATGATTCATTCATTCTTACGTTGAACAAGAAAGCCTCCAGAAAGCCGCTTTCAAAATGTCGATATACCGTAAAAGTCCGTAAATAAGTACCTGCCCGAAAGAAATACCCCCTTCATTCTTTTGGCTCTGTCTGTTGAAGTCAAGTCAAGCCCGATAAACATACTGCCCGAAATAAGTACCGGTATGGTGCGCACATGCAGCACGTAGCATGTACATCGACATGAAAATGACTTCTCCACTACACACAAGTCGGGTCCGAAAGTTAGTTCGTGCCCGAAAGTCAGTACCCGCCCGAAAGTTAGTACGGGTGTGGTCACTAAATTCGAAAGTAAATACGTACTTATTTACGGACTTTTACGGTAGCTGGTTCCATTGATCGCGTTTCTAAAAGAGTATCCAATACCCAGGGTACAGTCAGACTGGGGTTCTACTGTACAGCAAAACCTGTAAGTAAAGACCACCGTGACTAGCGACCAGCCTGGTACTATAGACCACCGTGACTAGCGACCAGCCTGGTACTATAGACCACTTCGCCAGGCATGGACGGTCTCACATTCATATTATGGTTGTGCGGTGCAAACCTCTAAGTAAGGACCACCTGCCACTAAAGACCGCTTTCTCTGGCCCCAAGGGGTGGTCATGAGTAACAGGTTCTACTGTACCTACATGTAGTTGACTTTGTAGAGATTGTAACAAGCAGCACTGCCAAGATGTCGTACTGAAGACTACATGCAATAGAGAGGTACTGTACAGAGGTACATCACCAGTATAATTATCCTCCACCAGATGCACTCAAATCCCCTGAATTTTGACAGTGCCAGCACGCAGCACTACTTCTGGGATGAGGGTGGAAAAGCACAGTAGCAGTGTCGTTGTTTCTTGATGCATACACCTGGTGGTGAACATGCGTTAGCTTTGCTTTCAATCCCGTACTCCTATGTCCCATTACATCAACAAATAGCGCGGGCCGAACTTAACTATTTTAGCAATACAAGCTGCTGGGGACATTAAAACTTGTACCCTTACGCCACAGTAGACTTGACGGACCCACTGTGGAACAAAACGACACTGGAAAGCTCTCTCTCCCTCCCCCCACCCACCCTCTCTCTCTCTCTCTCTCTCTCTCTATCTCTCTGACAGGGCCTTACAAATTATTTCCAGAGTTACGGCGTGATCAACAGGGCGAATCCGGAGTAAGTGTACTTGGAGTGCAATCCGACTACACCGGCCCCCACACCGGGAGTGGTTGAAGTGGAAATGGCCTTCGATTTTTAGACAGCTTTCCGACGCAGGATCTTTTCGTGCTTGCCACATATTTTATATGCTATTGCTGTGGAAGTGCGCTTTCTTTCGGTCTCCAAAGAACAATCAGCAACGTTGAGTGAGAAAGAACAGGCGCAGGCGCAGGCCCAAGTGGAGGATGGCTCTGACGCCGAGGTGGAAGTAGTAGAGAGGAAAGCCGGCTTTTCATGGAGCAAGAAGCTCACTATTGATCTTATTTCGGCTCGACCATCGCAAGATGAACAATTCTCCGATGGTGCTATCAAGAAGAAAGAGCATCTGGATAAAGTGAGAAGAAATTACAAAAAATCGTTTTGAAAGTACCCGTACTTGCGGAGAGCCCTTAAAACTTAAATACATTGTGGTCATGATAGCATCACAGTTCTGTAATTGAGAATTCACTCAAACATCCACTTCCTGATCTTGAATACCTGCCTCATAGTTGAAAATTCACAGTTCACCAGAAAACAATTCAGGTCAGGCCCACCATCGGTGCATCGGGCAACGCACTGAGAACGTCCAGTCAGTGGGTGTTTGAATGAATTCAATTTGCTACCTACATGTACAGGCTGTGCCAGTTCATTGTCTTACTTTGCATGATTCTTTGCTCCATCCCAGGCTTTTCAATACCTCCGTGTACTTGTTCTGGCACACCATGTAGATGGACTGCAGTTCCTCGACCTTTTTCATTCGCTCGCGAATGACATATTCGCTTAGTGACATGGCTACACGACAAAGAAGTATTCCTATGTAAGTACATAATGCACAAACCAGTTACAGCTACAACTAAAGTTAGTTATTTTCTGAAGTCTGAAGGGAAAGAAATGATTCGAAAAGGACCAGAAATGGGCGATGCAGCGCCCCCAAGGCGACATGTGCACGAGATCGAGAATCACTTCATTCACTGACTTTAGCCAGTGCAGGCTGTCGTAATAAAACGACTCATCCGTGTTCCTTTCCCGTGCATGGTACATGTGACTTGTCAGTTGTCACTTGGTTGAACCGCCGTCACGTGCGCCAAGCACCAGAGAAAAAGGGGTAAAAAGTCAGGGAGTCAGCTCAGGGGGAGTCAGGGCCCAGGGCAGGAGGGGAATGTTAGGGGAGGGGGCTTCTCTTCTATCCGGAGTTGCACATTCTTGGCGGCTTTTGAAGTTATGTACTCTTGATGATACCCAGTCGAAGAGTAAAATTTTCGACTTGGTATCATCAAGAGTAAGACCTAAGTTCCGAAGCTTATTTCTAAAATAAGCTTCGGAATTACTTAGGTATGTACTCTTGATGATGCGTGTGTCAGTAGTTGATCGCGAGACCGTAGCACAAAACACCCGTACCCTTACAACCTGGCCCAGACCCTGGATAACAATAAGCTGTTCAGGCCATCACGGCACCAGGGTTGGATTTGAATCATTTCGCCTGGCAGCACTGCATCTAACAAGAGTGTACAATGCCATGTCAGGCCCGGTGGAACCGGTCCGGTTTGTCACGTCATGGCCGGACCAGCTTTTAGATCACCAACATGATTGTGTTTACTGCTGAGGAGATCATGCATATACCCAATATAATTATGTCATACACAGAGTATGAAAGGCTAGGGTATGGCCAAGAGAACATACCCCCCCCCCCCCCCCGTCTTGGTATGGCCGAACCAATCAAAAACTAAAAACTACTTCCGCCTGTCCTGCATGTACATGACCACCCTTGAAGCTGATGAGTTACAACCTGTAAAAGAACTTACTCTCCTTGGCATAACATCACATCAAGAAAACACAACCGTACTCTTGATTGATCATATACAGCAGAGAAGATTCAAGAACGGGCTATAGCTTTGTTGCAGATTTATTATTGATCAGAAAGCACCTAATAAGAATGCGCAGCTAAGGAGTGAAGAGTGAGCAAGTGAAGGAGAGTGCCCAGAGGGTACACTGCTCCATTGAAGCCGCAGGGAGGCGTTCAGACAGAGAGGAGAGAGTGCGGGTGTACATGTATATAGCAGAACGCGTATGCCCTAAGGCCAAGAGGACAAACTATAACCTAGAATAGGTCTACAACACAAAGCCTGAGCAAAACTCTCAGCAAAGAACAGTGACATCAAAATATGTCGTGAAGTTTCTTGCTGAAAGATACAAAATAATTTGAAATAGATAAAATAAAATTGAACACGCTCAAGGAGTTATTGTCAAGTCTCGTCGGTCCTAAAAAAAGGTACAAAATAGTTGAAAATACTTGAAGTAGATCAATAAAATAGAAACCGGTATGTGGGCATGCGAGCACAAACTGCCACCAGGTATGTCATAACTCAACGGCTGAGCACTCTTGGTTCAATCATATCCAGCACTGTTAGTATGCTGAAGCACCGACTAGTGTCACACGTTTCCACTCATGGGTCAAAGTTACTGATAAGCCAGTGTTTTGATTTCTGTTTATAGATGTTACAGTTTGGATACTAATGGTCGCTGATGATTGTTGGCAGGACCGGCCCTGTAGCTGTTGAGCCTGTGCATGGCCTTGTCGTAACAGCGCTTGCCGTGGATGTGACGCATGGCCTCCGAGTACGTCTTCGGAAGGATCCTCAGTGGCTCCTTCTCCAGGCTGGCGAAGGTGAAGTGGAAGACATTAGTGGTCTGCCGCGCTCCACTGACGTGGCCAAACTTCTCGGCGTGCACGGAAACCTGCAGGAATGACCGAATAAGCCAATAGGCAATGCAAGTGTGGCTAGAGCACAGAGAAATTGTGCTTTTGTAATGCAGTTCAAATCAGTGAGACGGTGCCGATTAGTGCTTATACCCGCTGTAGATACTACAGTGCTGCTCAATGAAATCCAGTCGCGTCACTCAAGTACGCGCTGGGCGTTGCGCAGTACATTGGGCTGCGAAATGATGCAAGGCGCAAACTTGCATGAAGCGACTGGATTTCAGTGAGCCTACACTCTTTCATCAATTCTTGCAACAAAAACACAACAACAGTGAGTCATGTAAATCATGCCCCCCTCGTAATTGTTGTTTCAGAAGCAAACGTCGCAACAAGCGGGGTTCTGTACTGGACTAGTGGCATGTCCAGTGCTATAGAAGCACCACCCACCCTCTGACTGGGCACCAGACATGCACAAACTGGGGATGGTGATGGTGCTGAGAGGAGATACGGCAGAACATTCTGCAGTCTAAGGAGTGTGAAATGGCTGGTGCACAACACGTGTGTGTGGGGGGGGGGGGGTACAGTGTGTGTGTATTTGTGTCTGCTCTCGCCGGTTCCGGCTAGTCTCGCATCTGGAGCGCCATCAGATGGTGTGATCCTTCTCTCTCTCTCTCTCTCTCTCTCTCTCTCTCTCTCTCTCTCTCTCTCTCTCTCTCTCTCTCTCTCTCTCTCTCTCTCTCTCTGCTGCCCCTCCGGGGCCCACGTGATCCTACAGTACTGTTGGGCGCCGAAGAACTGGGTGGGGGGTCAGGGTTGTAGCCTAGCCCGTTCTTATTCGATGGTACAGTCTTACATGTACATTTATGCAGAGTTATACATCTGAGTGTATATTATTATAGTGCACTAGTACATTACGGTTTCCGTTCTTATCTGCAAAAAAATTCAGCCTAGACGGTTCTTAAAAATTGGTGAAATTCTAGCCTGGCCGTTCTTCGGCGCCCAACAGTATTGTAGTGGTAGTGGCTCTACAGGACAGGACAGGTGTGTGTCACTGTGTCACTGTGTGTGTGTGTGTGTGTGTCACTGTGTCACTGTGTGTGTGTGTCACTGTGTCACTGTGTGTGTGTGTGTCACTGTGTCACTGTGTGTGTGTGTGCGTGCGTGCGTGTGTGTGTGTGCCAGTACTATCTAGCAGTGCATACCTGCAAATACGGTCCTTCGGTGAAGACAATCTGAGCCTTGAATTCCAACATATCTCCAATCTCCACTGGCACTTGAAAGAAAGTATCATCCATAGCAATGAACTGAGGCAAGGACTGTGTGAAAACACTCACTGATGCCCAGGCAAGTTCGAACGCCTGCCGCATCAGATATCCACCAAACACCTTGTTGTGAATATTGCGATGCTGCGGATGACAGAGTCGTACCGAGGACATGCGTGTGTCGGACATCCACACGGAACCCTCCGGCAGCCGTGGATCATCCTGAAGCGACGCCGAGGAGGAATCGACGGTTTGCAGGAAGAGCTCGTGAACTGTTTTCCGTTCGTCCTCATTTGGAGGGTGCCGGGTTAGCGACTCTTTGGCCATTTTCTGGCGCGCCGCTTTTCGTTTCTCGCCTTGCTGGAACATGTCGATTTCCTCTGGTGTACGGAGCTGGAGGAAGTTGATTTGGGCAGCTTCGTTCGTTGTCGGATCGCGGCCCACCATTACCAGTGTAGCCTCGGCCAAACGCTTCCACTGCCGAATGTCGTTGCTAGACTGTTCAGCGTAGGACACGGCGTGATCGGCTGTGTTCGCACTGGCAGTGCAAGTATTCGCTGTGTTCTCCGCTGTGGACGTACAGTCAGCGCTACCGTCCTCTTGGTCGATGAAAATAGTCACTTCCATGGAGCTTGTGCCGACCCAGGATACCATTCCGGTCAGGCGAATGTCCCGCTCCAGTGAGATCTTCTCGCGGATGTCCAGTCGGTCAACCAACGCCGTAACGATGAGGAGATGCTTGGCATCATCTAGATTCCCATGTTGCGAGCAGTGCATGTACGCCGAGTAGGCAGCGATAATGTCCATGTCTTCTAGCAGCAGCCCTGCACGCACACCACCCATAATGTTCATGTAGGCTATGCGACGTTCTGCACTCGTCCCCAGTGGAATGTATCCAACAACTTTGCTATCCTCAACAGTGTGTGGTTCAATGTCAGGCTGAAATGGGGCAGCTGTTTCACGTTTCTCAGCAGCTGCTGCCACCGCATCAGCCCATCGATCTTTGCACCAGGGCAGTTCAACAGTACGATGGTCGACACCCAGGAACGAATTCCACATGTGCTCACGAATTTCCTTGATATCAGAACCACCAGCCATCCGAGTCCATGTCTGCGCCTGCTGAGAACATGCTGATGATGCAGTGCTGCTACAGGTCCGCATCATCGCCGGCAGAGGCAATCTACTTGAGAAACGACACCACATTTCGGACATGGAGAGGAACCAATTAGGTGCCGTCACCTACTATACTGGCTCAACACTTCAGGACTTCGTGACAATCCTTTTCAAAATACCGTGAATACTGTACCTCCAGATTTTCGAATGTTCAGTCTACAAAGCACTTGTTCACGTCATACGAATATACAGTGACTGTAGTCTGTAGTCTTTACAGTCAGTGGTGTGATATGATGTGCATGTGGTGGCCTGTCTGGAAGCAAAACCGCATTGTAAACCGCATTGTGCATGCATGACATCTTTAGTTCACGTGAAGTTTGGCATAATAGGCTATGCCAAACTTCACGTGAACTAAAGATGTCATCAAGAGTACATAACCCGGGTTATGTACTCTTGATGTCATGCATGCACAATGCGGTTTACAATGCGGTTTTGCTTCCAGACAGGGCACCACATGCACATCATAATCACACCACTGACTGTAAAGACTACAGACTACAGTCACTGTATATTCGTATGACGTGAACAAGTGCTTTGTAGACTGAACATTCAAAAATCTGGAGGTACAGTATTCACCTATGCCATACAATAGGTGCCAAACTTTACCGTTTACGTTTGACAGGGAGTCCCCTCCCATCCCATAGGTTTGTACCGAGGTTTTGTGATTTTTCCCGAATAAACTTATAAAGCTTTGACATGAAGACAAAGTATGTTGACGTAGGTACGCGTTTCTCGAGCTCTGTAGTCTTCAATGGATTTTCCAACTCCAACGTGCCTCTCCTGCAAACCAGCCGATGCAGAGTGCCACTTGTTGCCGGTGCAACGGCAACGGCACCTGTGTTCGGTGCGATTGCACGAAAGAGGGTCGGAAGTGTCGGAATTGTATCCCCTCGAAGAAGAACAAATGCCGAAACGGCTCCCCGACATCCCAACCGTCTAGTCTTCTCAACCGTCGTCGACGACTACAGCTACCGTACCCGTAGGAACTGCACGAAACTCTGTTCGTGATACGGTAACGGACCACACTGTCAGCAGGACGTCGACAAGCTCCGACAACAGAGCAACCGCAGTTTCCGATACGACACTAGACTCCGTACCCGTACCAAATGTCTCGAATGTGCACAAGCCAGTAGTCACCGAGAGTGCAGCCGCAGTACTCACCACCACCCTACTTGCAGAGTGCAGAGACGGTCGTCACGGACCACCTCGCACAGCCCGGTCGAGCTCGCCTCCCGGTGCCAGTACCGTAAAGTACCGTTGATCCGCCCCCACGCCATGTCGCTTCCCAGCTGGGTTTTCGGCAGGGGGCGGGAATTAGATCAAGGCTGTCAAGTGCAGTACGATCTACAACAACGTAGAGGATCAGACTCAAAGTGCTAAATTGTGCACATTTTGATCCTGGATTGGCAAGTATTGTGTACAGCAGTGCATGCGTCGGTTCAACATCGTATTTCGTTGTATACGGCGAAGTCGCTTCACAAGGAGAAAATCGACAGGGGACGGGAATTAGAGAGGGGGCGGATCAACGGTACTTTACGGTACTAGCAGTAGCACTGTAGTACCCGTACAGGTGCCGAACTCGCCTGACACCAATGGCAGTGCTGATGTCGAACCTGCCAGCCAAGCGCCTGAGCCAGCGGACGCGGAGCGTGCCACCGTGACCGTAGTGGACCTAGTTGACCTACCAGCGAGTGGGGACGTAGATCCACACGATGTCCGACTGCTAGCCACACTCAACATGTCCCAAGCAACAATGGACGTCGCTGATCCTGTTATCCCGGACCTGCCACCCCATCCTCCCCTGCGGGACCCCACACTCGGAATGGGAGATCTGGACGGTCCCACATTTCCAACCGGATATCCGAGGCGTACGAGAAGGTAGTTCATTTTATCCCAAACCTGTTGGACGTACCAATGGGCAGCACGGGCCGAACCTTTATCCGTATGCTGAGTTCACACTTCCACGCCTTTGGTAACAACTCCTCAGGTGCAGCTGACTACGCCCTGAAAACGGCGATGGTAATGCAGCAGTTGCTCCTTCAGAAACCTGGCGGGACCGTAGCGGCAGCAGCTCACAAGGTTTGCATCGAGCGCCGCATTGCCTCGTGGGATTCCGGAGACGTACAGGTGCTACTCCAAGAATCCGTGACTATCCAAGACCAGATCGTCAAGGCCCGCAGGCGAAACGCACGGCACGAGGGACACACGGTCGACCCGGCACGCAGATTTGCGTCTGACATTGAGCGTGGCAGGCTCTCGGCAGCCACTCATCAACTCTCCCCCGACATGGGTGGTGGAGTTCTCGATCTTGACGACACCATTGGAGAAACGACCGTGCTTGATGTGCTGCGCAGTAAGCACCCACAGGGCGAGGCAGTCACAGCAGCGGCTCTCCTCCCAGGGCAACCCCCAGCACAGCCCCACCCAGTGCTCTTCACCAAGCTGGACAGGACCGCTGTGCGCCAAGCTGCACTGCATACCACCGGTTCTGCAGGGCCGTCTGGGATGGACGCAGATGGCTGGAGGCGTATGTGCACAGCGTTTGGGGACATTTCAGACGACCTATGTGATGCTCTCGCCAGCTGTGCCCGGCGAATCGCCACTCAGTACGTCAACCCAGCATCGATGGAAGCCTACACGGCGTGCCGGCTTATCCCTCTAGATAAGAAACCGGATGTGCGCCCAATAGGCATCGGCGAAACCGTCCGTCGTATCATCGGCAAGGCTATTCTGAGCGTGGCGGGGGTTCTGTTCGTGAGGCGACAGGGTCACTGCAGATGTGCGGAGGCCAGGAATGTGGCATTGAGGCGGCCATTCACGCCATGCACGACACGTTCCATGAAGAAGACGTTGACGCTGTGCTAATGGCGGATGCATCCAATGCGTTCAATCGCCTTAACAGAGAAGCATGTATGCGCAACGTAGCGCACCTCTGCCCAGCCATCACACCCGCTATTGTAAACTGCTACCGTCAGCCGGCCCGCCTATTCGTGGACGGGGAGTGCCTCCTATCGCGAGAAGGCACAACGCAGGGAGATCCTCTTGCTATGCCGATGTACGCTTTGGGGGTACTCCCCCTGGTGCGCAGAGTGGCAACCCCAGGAACACGCCAGAGCTGGTATGCGGATGACTCGTCCGCGGGTGGCGGGCTCAACCCTCTCCGCCAGTGGTGGGACCGACTCGTCGGGGATGGGCCGGCATTCGGGTATTTCATTAACCCCAGCAAGTCCGTCCTCATCGTCAAGCGGGACAAGCTAGAGGCAGCCGAGACCATCTTTGCCGGCACGGGTGTGTCTATCACCACTGACGGGTGCCGTCACCTTGGATCAGCCATCGGAACTGACCAGTTTGTGCAGGAGTTTGTGGCTTCCAAGGTGGCCACCTGGTCGCAGGAGCTGTGCAAGCTGACAGATTTCGCCCGGTCACAGCCTCAAGCAGCTTACTCTGCACTGGTGAACAGCCTCCAACACCGGTGGTCCTTCCTGTGTCGGGTTCTCGATGGCGCTGCAGAACAGCTGGCACCCCTGGAGGACATCATCCACCGCCGCCTAATCCCTGCCATTAGTGGACGGACGGCGCCCAGTGAAGCTGAACGCATTTTGCTCACTTTCCCCTGCCGGCATGGAGGCCTCGGCGTGGCCAACCCTGCCACTTTTGGCTCACAGTACGGCACCTCCAGGCTAATCACCACTGCGCTGTACGACAAGATCATGGCGCAAGAAGAGCACCTCGATGATGCTCTTGCCTGTGTCCGCAGGGCCAAGAGTCAGGCTCGCTCTGAGGCCAGAAAGGCAATGAAGATAGCTGCCGATACGTTCCGCACCGAACACAGCGAACTCGATCTCGCTATCAGTCTGGCAGAGGAGAAGGGAGCATCAAGCTGGCTTACCTGCCGACCCATCGCTCGCCATGGCTTCGCTTTGTCGAAGGGGGAATTCCGGGATGGCCTCTGCCTCCGTTACGGTTGGACGCCTTCTCGCCTGCCCACCACCTGTGTTTGCGAGAAGGCATTCACCACTGCTCACGCCTTGTCCTGTCCGTTCGGTGGGTTCCCCTCGATCCGCCACAACGAGGTGCGCGACATACTGGCAAGCTCCTTGAAGGGTGTCGCCCACAACGTCGCAGTGGAGCCACATCTCCAACCCCTGACTGGGGAGCAGTTTCAGCTCCGGTCAGCATCAACCGAGGATCAAGCTCGTTTGGATGTGGTGGCCAGTGGAGTTTGGGGGGGTCGGTTCGAACGCACTTTTATTGATGTACGGGTGTTCAACCCTTATGCGTCTTCGAACCGCACCTCCTCTCTCTCTCTCTGGCTGCTACCGGCACCATGAGCAAGAGAAACGGCGTCGATATGATCGGAGAGTCCGAGAAGTGGAGCGATCCACTTTTCTCCCCTTTGTGCTCTCTTCCACCGGAGGATGCGGCAAGGGTGCCGCTGCACTGGTGAGCCGGATTGCACATCTCCAGTCGCTACGTGGGAGGGAGGCGTATTCTGTGCTAATTGCCCACCTCCGCTGCAGGCTGTCTTTCGCCCTGCTGCGTTCGAGTGTCATGTGTCTGCGTGGGGCTCGCCGAGTTTGGCAGCCTCCGATGGCTGTGCCTCCCTGGCTGTCGTGGAGGCTAGGCTGTCCCTCCAGGAAATCGCGATTCCACGGATGCAACAAATTTCGCGATTTTGGCCCAAACCCGCGATTTTCAGCAAAATCCGCGATTTCCCACGTTTTTTGTTGTTTTCTGCACTATATCTCCCATTTTTCTGCACTTTTCACGCAGTTTTTTCCATGATCCTGTAGGTTATTTGCACAGTACGACTCCCGAGTAGATATACGTTGCAACAAATTTCGTGATTTGGCCCAAATCCGCAATTTTCTGCAAATAATTCCGCGAATTCCTGGCAAGTTCTGCATCATTCCGCACTTTTCGTCGCATTTTTTGTTACTATCTGCCGCAATTTCTTGCGCAAGTTTTCAAGAGTTTTTTCCGCAAATTCCCGCAGGGACAGGCTAGGGTGTCCCGTTGAGCCTTGCCCCGTGCGGACTATGCTATGCTTCTCTAGCTCTTGCTGTCTGATCACATGCGACGTCATCATTATGTGATTATTTTGTTTTCGATCCGCCGTG